AACACTTGACATGTTCCGAACCAAATATATATCAAATAATTATTCACTACTCTTTATTTATGAGAGTCGCCCGCGTTTCAGTTGAATTTGCTTCACTTTCGAGGTTTTTCGAGTTTACACAACACTACAATACGTGCTACTTTGTTTTTCACAATTTGTTTTGAAGTGCTTATTCTATCTGAGTTCTATTTATTTGCTTTTCTTAAGTTTCATATAAGTTGCTTTTATATAAAGTTTTCTAAACAAATTTAATTTGTAGGGTTCCGCTCGAAACGTCTTCAATCAAAACAACTAGAGCAATGAATTCAAGAATTCCGATTCGAGACGTTGGTTCTCCGCACGTCCGAACGCGTCGAGTCAAGTGTAGAGAGTGATTCTACACAGTGGGAAGAGTGTCGCCCTAACCGTTGACGCCTTCATTTAGCAAAGTCACTTGAAAAAAGTCGTGAATATTGTATTTATAGTGTAGTGATTGTAGTATTTGTGCTAAGCGCGTGTATCTGCGTGATAAAAGTGGTATTTGCTTAAGTCAAATTATCGTGATAACCAAACTCATTGGTTGACTTGACAAACAGGCAAATATGCGAAATCTTCAAGTGTGATTCAAAGCCTCATCGACTTGAGTTATTAATTCGTCAAAAAGCACCTGATTAAGTTGATATTGAACTAATTGATCGTTATTTTATTGCGCTGATAAGTGAGAGAAAATCAATGCCCCGAAAATTTGACAATTAAATTCGATTAAAAATAAACTCTCTCTCTAGGGACAGTGGCTTGAGCCCTTGTGAGTGGTTCGTTTCGTCGCAAAATTAAGTCTACAAACTATCCTAAACGGATTCCAACGACATATCATGAGCTGAATACCCCAGGGACACCGACAGCTGATGATAACTTTATTATTTTTATTCCATTATTTCAAGGTTACCCTTAGCAGTAAGGCTGAATAAAATGATTCTACTCTCTAGCCACTCCTTAGGGATAGTCCAATCAAACCGGCAACTGGAAATTGTCGAAAGGAAATGGTGCGGCAGAACTTTTTCGACCATATTCCAAGCAGAGGTGAAAAAGACTATAAGTCGGTGCGTAGAGTTAAACTCCTAACGCAACTATCGCAACAAACCTGCAGTCATATGTACTCAGCGACAGACAAGCGACACGTAAAGCCGCGTAAAGCTGTGTACGAGATCAAATTGCTACTGGCGCAGGAGTGTATGAACGGTTGAATAGTCTACTAGATCGTAACCAAATGCACTTTATCTGTGTGCCGTGTCGCCGTGGTATACACGAGAATGAACTGACTGATGAGATTGGCCACGCCGAAGCATCCACCAAAATGGTAGGACAGGGAGGGATATTGGTAATAAATCCAAAGCACGCATCATGCCAAGTTGGGAATGGGTGGTTACAACCTCAAGAAGCACTGTACAGCAGTCTGTGGACACAGAGTAAAGGCCCTTGGATCCATGCTTCCAAATAGGAATCACATCGTTTCAAAAGCATAGAACAGCATAGAGGAACTAATCAATATGCTGAGGCTAAGTGAGTCATTGTGACTTAGGAGAGGACACAGTAGACCTTAGGTCGCAATGCAATCCTCATTTATTTATCTATTTATATATATTTATTATTCCATCTAGATCTTTTTGGCGAGATCATCACATTTTCACCTCCTCATTTTCGGCAAATCTAACGTGTTATGGATACATTTTATTACAATCGTCGTCCGAACGTGGTTTCTCATGCGTTCGGCGTTTATACATCTAATTAAAGTAATCTTTATTACTATTTTTATTTGATGGCGGTGGAAGATGTTTGCAGCTGATATTCCTTCTCGTGTAAAATTATTGTCGTGCATGTTCGTGTGCTCGCATGTTTAGGTATCTCAGTCATTAATGTAGCAATTTCAGACCCAAGCTAATATTGACAAACTGACAATAATGGATAATATTTAGTAGCTTAAGTACACAAATATCACAGCAGTAGTTTATTGGTGCACTAAAGGACTTTGTATACCGAAAGCTTTGTATTACATATGTAGGTATTCCATTTTGTTCGTTTGGATGTAAATATTGAGTAATTCTTGTAATGAGCTGCATATTGGCACATCTTTCGAATATTATGCTTCCTATTGCTAGTTCCATTCCATCTGAGTCCATTTATATGCCTCCCATATTATAAGCTGTTCAACGTTGTAAGAAATTTGTAGAGCGAAGTCGAGGAAAATTTTACTCCAGATGCTGCAGCGCTGATGATGTTTTTGGCGACTAAATTCTGATCCTAAAATTTTGTTTGATTAAATGTGTGCTTTTCGGTTTTACTTTTATGTGATTTATCTAGAGAGTGGCAAATGGTGGAAATTTAAAAAAAAAAATCAAAAATAAAAATGTGGGGATCAAAAATTTCAGATCACTATGGTAAGTCAAATGCAATGGACACTAGACAAACACGGCTTGAAACACAAGCAACACAGGGCATACCACAAAGTTACTTGGGGTAGTGTGGATGGTGGACAGACCAAAAAGCTCTTACTTCTAGGCAAAATGGAGCTTAGGAACGTTATAGTGATCTTTACAGGGCACGTAACCTCAGGAATCCACCTTCAGAAAATGAGAAAGGTGGACTTAGCGAAATGCAGAGCGTAAACGGAGGATGACTCTGGAGTCTATGCAAATTCCCAGAAAAGGGACAAGGAAAGGATTCCATGGATAACGACACTACAACTTAAGAAACACTGGGCAGCTGGGATGGAAAAGAATCAGGTTTTTTACAAAATCCTCTGAGTTGCTAGATTCAAACTGATTACCACCCGAGAACACAATGTGCTTAATAATTCCTTAAGTGCTTTCGTCTGTGGTTCATCCCTTTTCAACCAACCACCCAAGACAAATATAGTTAAAGTCGGGATTGACAATTTTTTTCTGGAAACGGCTGATATTCCTTTGCCATAAGCATATTTTATGTATTAAACTAAGCAGATTATGTTCTCTGGGTGTATGCCAAATTACATTGACCCACACAATTATGCCCTAAGTTCGAGATAAGAGATGCAAACCTTCTCATCACATTAAAATTTGTTTACTTCAATTTGTATTTCGCAAATTCCATTATTCATTTTACTAAAGGACAGCTAGAGGAAATTATTTCGTCATGCCCAAATTATATAATTTTATTTCAGTTGTGTATGTATCTATGTACTCATGAACTCCTTACTTTTTCTACTCGGCCAAGCTGCCAAATCATATTTGACAAGGGAAATGCGGAGTTTCATATAGATGGGATCAAAAGTGATTGAAAACGTAAATGTACCGTATGTACATTTTTATTTAGTTTGGACCAATTATCATCTATAAAGCTAAACACACAAGGCCACCAACGGCTACACCAAAAGTTTGCTTCAACAATTTTCACATTTGCTCAGATGGTTCTGAAATAGAAGATACCATAAGGATGTCTGTGAGTGTGTTTCCAAATGTTGTGGGTGTACCTAGAGTCTATGAATATTTGAAGATGGATTTACTCTTACTTAGTGAACAATTTGTATTGTGCGTATGTCTTTATGTACATATTTACCTAAGTCAGAAGTAATCAAATGGCTCTTAACAATCAGCTCGGAAGCGTGACGACCAAAATTAAGTTAAAAAATGAAATTTGTTTAGCATGTGTGGTTTGAAAAGGTTCATTCGTGTTGTATTTAAAGTGATGTTAAAAAATTGTCGTTTGGCCACTTTTATAAAAAAGAAGTAAACAAAAAATCTTCTGAAATTCGCACCATTTGGACCGTTGTATGACAATTGTGCTTGCGTCACAGTAGTCGGATGATAATTGAAAGTGTTATGCACAAATAGCCATATCAGGTGTACTTGGGATTTGCGGATTATGACGGCATATTAAATTCTTTCGCTTGTTGCGTTTGCCTTTAAAAGATAGTCTCCGAAATAAAAGAACATGCTTATGCCAGGTGCCTCTATACTTTTACACCGCAGTACTAAAGCTCTTGAGATAAAGGAAGGAAGAGCTAATGCAGAGGGTGCAATCGAACATTATGATGTTTTTATCAAAATTCTTTCATTGTGCACGGATCTCATCATATACATCATCGAATGACCGTAGTTGAATAATAAAGCTGCATATCTCAAAGGCATGGAGTCCATTAAACGCATTTATTCCTCAAGAGAAATGGCTTTATGGCCTTCTTTCTCCCTACAGTTTCCTTGACATCTACCTAGTGGTTCTCAATTGGATTAAGGTGGGGCGACTAAGCCGTCCAGCTCATAACCTCAACTTCATTTGAAGCAAACCAGTTTTTTTGCCGACTTGCTAGTATGCTTGGGCTCGGTTGTTTTGTTGATATATCCATTTCAACGGCAATTTCCATTCAGAGTATGGTACCTGTCGTCGTCTCCATTATTTCACATTACAAGCCTATACCATAGTAAGAGAAACAACTCCATATGTTGAATATACCGGGAAACATATCTGGGATCGAATTAATACTTTTCTGGCCTTCGTACATACTCTCCGCGTCCTCGAGAACCATGAAACACAATATATTGCGCCATTTTTCATGTCACTGCTACTATTTCGAACACTATTGTACATATATCATATTTTCAAACATAAAAGCACAAAAAAAAAGTTTCTTTACATTTTTAAGCGTTTTTTTATTTTTTATTTCATTTTTATTTTACAATTTTCATTAATTTATAAGCTTTCATCATTAAATATATATATATGTATGTTTATATAAATTTTTATTATTACACTTTACAAATTTGCATTAAAAAGTAAAATCATATATTCAATCATAATTCAATCAGTTGCAATTTAAATAGCTCGATTGTTGAATTTGTTTAATTATAATTATAAAATAGCATGATCTTATTTTCCATTTTCATTTTCAATCTCTTAACGCTTGCCATACAAAAGCTACTTTCATTGATAAGCAAAATATATATGTGAGTATGTACATATTTCTTATGTACGCATGTATGCATTTCAACTTTTAAGAATTATGAATGAACAGAATAATTGCAAGTACAAGCTCTATTAGCTTTATGTATGCATATATGTGTGTTTTCTATATGTGTGTGTGTACTATGTGCATCTGATGCGTGTGCAGTTGTTGTTTGTGTATTTGGGTGGGTGAGTGTTTATAGATTTGTGTGGTAAGTTTTTGCAGTGCAGTAAAATACGTGAGCACACAACACACTTACGAGTTTTCTTTCTTTTTTAACATGAAATTCAATGTTCTTGTGTGGAGTTGAGAATTCAATGAATTTACCGTCAAGCCATTCACCATCATTTTTGACTTGAACCAAATTGATTGCAATTTGTTGATGTTAAATTTATTTAATTTTTCGCCTTCTCTTTTTCTCTTATTGAAGAAGTTTATTAAATGTTAAAGAATTTCTCTACACTTCAAAAGTAGGGCGTATGTGCAAAAAAAAAAAAAATTGCCTATCGAGTGCTTCAAGAAAGCTGACGTATGCTTGGTACTAAGCAATTGAAGTTTGCTTCTTACACCGCAATACTTTTTTACATTTGCGCGGAAAACCGTGCGAAAATGCAAATCAGACGCCATGATTTGCCAGTTTGGTGGACTAACAGCCACTTAGCACTGTAAGCTCACTCTTGAAGTTTTTATATAATTATTCTAGTTGTCATTGATAAGGTTTAAACAATATGACAGCTTATTGCCGCAAGTGCGTGATAGGTTGTAGAGACGGCAGGTTGGGTTAAACTTCTGGACATTTTCCCTTTCTGAGTGGCTTCAAAACAAATCGAACGCATTTGCACTTGACTGTACAATATATAAGTGTATATATTTTTATAAACTAACCATGCATTTAGTACATTTACTGGCAGCATCTGTTAAACATACAACCATATATGTATGTGGGTATATGTGTGTTGTGTGGGTGTGGTCCAAAAGTTTCACTATGAAAATTACATGATTTTTTACAAATATTTTGCGTTCAAAGGAACAAAAACGCCACGGAGCGCATACAATTTATAAACATAATTACAATTAGACACCAATTTGTGTGTGATACAAATGAAATAACCTCAACAATAAACTAGTAACATAAATAAAACTAATTCTGCGCATGTGCGCACATATTATGCGCGTTTTTAAAACATAATTCGATAAAATGTAAGTATAAAATAGCATTTTAACCGCGCATATATGTGTACAACGTATATGCAAATATGTGTGTAGGTAAGCTAAGAAAACAAACAAACATTTATATTTTATAGCAGATCGGCTGTTATGTACCGTATGCATTTTTTAAGCATTTTCATTGAGAATAATAAAGCGTGTGTGTGCATTTTGCTCCGAGCCCTGCGATGGTGTTAGTGCCCATGCATGGGTGCCTGAGTTTTGTTTACAAACTTTAATAAACGTGAATTATAAATGCTGCAACTGCATATGTAACTTTAGCATTCAAGTAGTCTAGGATTATAATTGATGTTAGCTATTTGCTTTTTGAAGTCGTACGATTAGGTATGTGTGTATAAATAAGGGCCTCGGCTTGCTGCGCTCCCATTCCACTTTGCCTTCTGCATGCCTTCTACTGCCAAGCGCCAACAGTGTAGTTGCGGCTGAAGTGACCCAAACGTCGTAGGCGGCCACCTGGGAAAAAGCAAAAGTTTGATGATGTCGTCAAATTACAAGTGTGTTTGTATGTATATGTGTATATCATTTATATTAGTGTGAGTGAAGGTAGGAAAAACTCAGTATGACGCACACCGACAAATATTGGTCAAATAGAGAAGATATATATTTACTTGGCTAAGTACTTAAGACGCTACTTGTGACAGTCTGAATGAGAGAACAATTACATGTTTGAAAGGCTCTCAAGTTATATTAACTTGACGGCATTTGCATTAAGTATGGATTCACTGAAGTGAGGTGGCAGACGCTCTTTTTGAATAAATAGCATTGTTTCTATTTTACGCATATATGGTACTCATAAACTCATAAGCTACAAGGAATAATGAGTACGAACACACCACATAAGAAAGATTGTTAGTTATCGCAATTAATCTGTTTTTTTTATATTTTATTTTTATTGCGTTCAAACTAAAATTCTTTAAATTTTTAAATGTTAAATCTTGAGAAAATATTTTTCTGAAGATTTTTCTCACTACATTTTATTTGTCCCCCCTCAATTTTACTGTAAGGGCGAAATTGTTAATTAATCACATTTCTCCTAATCTTGACAGTTGAAAATATTTATTGCTTAATAAACTGTCAACTGAGAGTACAGAGTGCTTGAAGATATCAATTATTATATGTATGTATGTAAAATTTAGATTTTCAAGAATGTCAATATTTGCTGATTTAATTAAGCTAATAAAATATATTAGAAAAATATAGATTTCATGTATATCACAACAACAATTGCCCGTGGTGACTTTCGGAAATCCATTTTAATTTTGATATTTAATATTAAATATTTGGCGAATACTTATAAGTAATTAATTTAAATTAAACAACCCAAAAGCAAAACGACTTAACCAGCTAGCACCTGCAATTAAATATATCGGACATTTTAACTATGCGATCTAATTTTTTAATTAATTACGTTTGTTTACATAGTCCCGAATATTAATAGCTGCATTTATTTTGCGTAAATGCGTTTCTTCACATAACTTAATTTTATAGTAGTAAAAAGTTTTAAATTTTAAGCAAATTTGAAAGGCATGTTAAAAGAATTAATTCCGCTTTTTTAATGTTTTATAACAATAAATTTTGGAAAAAATATCGAAGTTATTGCACTGTATATGTATAACCATAATTTGGCATTTATTTTAATATTTTATGATAACTAAGATATAATATGTAATTAATATTAGTAACCGTCAGGCAGTTAGATAGACAATCATTTATCTTTAAATATTGAGTAATTATTCGCTGACAAATGATCCGATCACTATTAAATTTTATCTGTATGTTCTGTATATAGTTTTCCAATGGATCTTTGTTTTTTAGCGCCGTCAGAGATCGAGTATATCTTGAAAAATATTTCTTTTTCCAATATTTTGTTTATAAAATATGTCTAGATATACTCTTAAGATATTGATAGCTTTTTTAATTCCCAAAATCGTGCTCATACTGATGATGCTTCTTATATAAAATATATGCTCGTGGGTGCGATACAAAAAAAATAATTCCAAACAACCAAAGCCTAGTTATTATAAAATGAGAGAGACAATCGAAACACAAATAACGTGATTTTTACACTATGCTATGGTTTTATTTTTTAGACGCTGAAAACAAATATGACATACAAATATTATATATGTAAATATGTATGCGCAACGCACATTTTTGCGACGAATTTTAATATGAAGTTAAGTAAACGGAACTGGACCTTGATTGACTACTTGAGTCCCTTAGAACAGCTAAATAAATATTTGCCACTTTTATAATTACTCATTTATAGTTCACTCAGTCAGTTACACAAAGTCGAAATGGTTGTTTTCTTGTGTCTTAAGAATTCTTTACCTTATATAAAGTTCTTACAGCGCATTTCTAAAAATGGCTAATGAGTCAAGTCATTTAGTAAGCTTCCAAATTTGTAAAACACAATAAAATTTTTTTTCCATCAGAGAGAATGCATATATACATATGTATATGTCTTAAAAGTTAAGTCTACGAAATAATTGAAGCATAGTAAATTTCAAAATTTCATACGTACTTTTTCGCACAATTTCATTCAATGGGACTTTTCTCGCTTGATTACACCATTTATTTTTCTGGAAATTGTTGTTGTGGCTGCTAAGGTCATGGTGGTGTGGTGGTGGTGGTGGCAGTTGAATTGTAGTTGGAGTAACACAGTAGTAGATGGAGCAAGTGATTAGTCGAGCAAATTTTATAGTTTGGTGGTTTTCGGTTTTTTTTTTTCATTGCTTTAACATGATTTACAAAACATTCATTCAATAATACAAAAAGAGTTTGACAATGTTTTTTTTTGTTTTTGTTCTACTTAGTTTTTGTTTCAACGACACACATATTATGTAAGTAGTAGAGAATTATGTATGTATGTATATTGTAGAGGTTTTCTATTTGTTTACGGTTGGCTTTGCAAATTAAGGTGAACAACAAAGTGGCTAGTTGGTTGGTTGGTTGGTTCACACAGTTTATTTACGCTGGTTCAGGCGATTTACACGTACTGGAAGTAGAGAAGAACACGTGGAAGAGAGAAAAAACCAAAAACAAGAAACATTGATTAGTCAAACATGTTTACAACAACAAATTGTAGGTATGTATGCTAAGGTGTGGTGGGAACTTTTAGTTAATAAACAACAACAAGAAGTAATGGCATTCAATTAGGAGTAATCTCATTTTAGTAGTAACTTCATTTAAGAACGTTCTCACAACAAGCATTTTCAACACGAGAGGGAAAGTTATTGGGCAGAATTTTAAACGTTTTTCCAGCGCATTCATTAAAATTAATTTTCAACTTTTCAAAATACAAAAACACTGAAGACCGATGTTGAAGACTCTTCAAGTGGACACGCCTACATTTTCAGCTTTGTTGCAGCTAGTTGAAGGCTTAACTGCTCAGGTTGGGTCTGTATGCAATTGTTAGTAGGCAATCAAAAAAATACAGTGGCGTACATATGCATGGAACCACTCGTGCTCAACACTGTATCAATAACATAAAAAATACATAAAAGTAACAAAAAAATAATAATTATGACAATAAAATAAAAAAGTGAAAGCTCATTTGTGCTTACTTAAGCGCCTCTTCGTAAGATTAATGCGTTTGGCTAACATTTGCTTTGTTGGTTAGTTCACTTCACAACATCTTAAAGACACTAGTAACGCAGCAACGCAACAACAACAACGGTTACAAAATTTACGAACTTTTTTGCGCTCGACATCCACGCCAAACGACAGTTACAGTGTATACGGTGTACATACAGACTTAGATACACAGGTGATTCGGTTTTGTTCAACAGCTGCTTCACATTTTTGTTTACATTTTTTGTTGTTATCGATTATATTTTGAATTATGAGCAAACTTTTTGTTGTTATCGATATCATTTTAAATTATGAGTAAATACATGATTTTACTATTTTGTAAGTAAAATTAAAACGATTTATGCTTTCACACATTTTATGGTTGGTTCGGTTTTTTGTTGTTTCTTGTTGTTGTGGTATTCGTGTTCTATGTTTGAGGTCTGCTATTAATCCTTTGGGCTTCAACAGAGTACGTTACGTGGTGAGTTTTTGTTTTTTAGGTTGGGATAGTTAATATTTCACTTAATAATTTAAATCGCAGTTTAATTCCTAAATAAAATATATAAATTTCGAAATTTACTTTAGAATGATCGGCTTTTTTGTTTTGTGTTTAGCATGAGTTAGCAGTGTTGTTGCTGATGTTTAGTGTGACTTTCAATGGCCGAACCGATAACTGCAGTGAAGTGCCAAATTGTTTATTTAAGTTTTCGTATTAATAATTAGAATTAATTTCAAAGTACTTCACTGCAGCTAGAGAAAAAGCGGTATACATATGTAATGAAATTTATGAATTTTTTTGACTGGATGATGGATGTCCTTACGGGCGCTTTCTCGATGAAGTTCGAACTTTGCTTCGAAAACATGCTTTTAGTAAAAATGTATAAAAAAAAAACATGATGAAATAGTCAGTCAGTAAATTGGAGCATGCAAAAAAGTAAATATTAGTTTACAAACAAAAAATATGGCAGTGCGTCAAAGTGGAAATGTTAGAACTACAGTTACTGAATAAAATGGTACTTTAATATCAAGGCCTAAAAAGTGTTTAAAACTACATTGCGTTAATACAAATTTCAGAGCTTGCTTTTAGACGGACGAAATGGGGCTACAAGCGGGATTTGAAAAGTGGTCAAGCCAAAAATAACGCCAATTTAGGTTTGCTTAGTATGCATTAAAGGCAAATCAATTTTTTCGAGGCTAAATTGTGCTGAAAAAATATATAAGTACATTTGAATGGTGGCCACAGCTAGCAGCGCCACTGGCTCGCCTTTTTATGCATACATACATATGTCGGTAGTAGCGGCAATCGTTAGCTTTTAAGAAAATAATTAGGGTTTAGATTTCGGTTTAGTGGTTATTTGATGTTTGTGCGCGCTGATTGGCGTTGCACCAGTTTGCTTGCTTCAACACTCTACGCTTGCAGTATGCAGATACGAATGGATTATAGATACCTTGTTTATTATATAAATATTTACTCCTAGAAATCATTTTGAGTTTCTCGAAACTTCGTTTTTGGTTTTATAAATCAATATCAGTATCAGCTTTCGTCTTCTTTACGTCCATCGGCTTCTTTCATTCGCCATACACCTCGCATATATTTTTTTTTGTGGGTTGTGTATGAAATTTATTTATGCATTTATGAATATGATTTAAATTAATCCTAAGTATTTTTTATCATTTTTTTTTTGTTAAAATATAATTCTTCTTTGATTTCATTTATAGTTTCTGTCTATTTTTACTGTTTGTGTGCTTTTGTGTGTTTCACGTTGTTTTGGACACTGTGTACTGTTGTTTTTTGACTTCTTTTTTCCATTTCTCAGAATTTTTGTTGTCCATTATTTTTGATTTTCAACGAGGTTAGTTTAATTTATATTCGATTTGAGCAGTTTTTCGCCATATCCTTTGTTAAATTCGCGCCTTTTATTTGTGCAAAAGTGCGCTAAAGTCTAAATTAAGCGTTTATGTGCAGAAATTAACTCGCTAGCCGCGCAATTATAGTCTGATATAGTCGGCAGCATCCTTTAATGACGAATTAGCTTTTCTCTTACTCTTTCTAGGTGTATATATTATATATATAAATATATAGGCTGGTTATCCTTGCGGCGTTTGCACGTCTTCTTTTCGCTATCATTTGCTTGCATCAAACGCGTACTTATTTGTCTTAACTTACGAGTGCGTTATATATTTAGTAAATAGTTTTTTTTTTATTTTTATTTTCTTTTACTTCAATCATTATACATATAAATATATTTTTATTAAGATCATTCATTATTTTATTGAATTCTTGTTGACTTTCTGTGCAGATTATTGAAAAATCTGAACTGCAGACGTAACTCAAGATCTTTTCTTACTGCAAACACAAAGACAAAATACATAGAAAGAAACAAAAACAAGTAACTGTTAAAAAACGGCAAATCAAAAGGAATGTATGTGCGCATATGCAAGTCAAGGAACAAAGAAAGACGCCAACAAAGTGTGGTGGCCATAACTTGCGCGGTGGGTGGTGGACAAGTACTCGGAACAGAAAGTTGATTAAAGAGATATAGAGAGGTGGAGACAAAACGGCAATGAACAAAAAACAAACTCGAGACAGAGTAGAAGTGGTATTGCTGGAGGAGTGGTGAAATGTTGAGTCGCGAGTGAAGGATTTGAATATATGGCAAACTATAGCAAACAAATGAACGAATTCGCATGACGCCGGTTGAATTTTAAGCTCGATGGTAGAGTGAACAGTATTTGTCCCGGACAATAGACAGCAGGAAGGAAACAAAATTCAACATGATGATATTGTCTCGACGAAAGTGTGCTCAAAGTGATTGCACAAACGAGATGAAGCCTGGGTGAAATGATAATGGCGAGCTGTTGGAACTTATGGATATGTACATATATAAACAGCGTTCTTTGATTTATTGTAATTTGATGCCAAATTATTAGATTCTTGAAACGGATGGCTATAATTAACTTAACCGCGAGCCAATATGGTGAATTAACTTTAAAAAACATAGCCAAAAACAGAAAAAATATTTAAAGAACAACTGTAATATACATGTACATATGCACTTCTGTATGTGTGCAAATTATTTTTTAATTGTCACTCGATAAAATAATATCAATAGATAAAGCAGAGTGCAATTAGCAAAGACGCAATATGAACTTATTTAAGGAAGGCATAAACATACCGTTATATGACAAAAAATGGGAAAACTTTTATGGACATATCAGAATGACGCAATGGCTATTTACATTGAAACGGAAACACAAGATAATCGATGAACCTTATGTAATTGAATCTTTCTTTCTGATGACTTCATTAACAAACACATAAAAAACGAGGTTAGTTTACACTTGGAACACATTGTAAGGAGTAACACAACGAAAATTCCGTATTTGATGATCATTTGGTGTGGATGAAATTATTTAATAGTGATGCAGATTTATATACAAACAACGAAGAAGTGATGCTGACTGATTTGGTGGGTGGTTTGTGTGGACGTCTGGTGTGGTTTTAACTTGGCTGATTTTGGAGAAATGTTTGTGTGTTTGCGGTGTATTTTTGTTTTTATTTTCGATTTCATTATTTGTTTTTAATGTTTTTTTTATACAAGAGCAACACACTAACTCACATGAGTGCGTTGTAACTGTTGGCACTTTGATTGAACGCCGGTGATGGTGATTGCAGTTCGGAGCTGGGTGTCACGGCACGGCTACCCGGCAAGACCATATTGTCCGGATCAATCTCAGGATCAAAGTCATCGCCACCCACCACATGGTCGGCGTCCTCCTCAAGGTCGAATTCAATGCGTGGCTGCGGCGATGGCGACGGTGAGGAAGATGGCGATGGCGTTGATGCTGGCGGCAGCTCCATATTAGCCGGCACAATCAATTTCGGCAAGTTCGGTTTCAATTTTTGCACGCGTACAACTTTTGTTCGACCGGTGTGTGCGATGCATAATCGATTAGTCGACGTTTTTTGTTATCATTTTTGATTTGTTTAATTTACACGTGTATAAATTTACAAATTTGTGGTTGACAAAGACAGTTTTTGAACAAATAAATAAAAGAAAAACTATTAGGAGGTTTTCTAGTTTAGACAATTTTATACATACAAAATGGGTAGAGTAACGGGTTCAACAAGAGCAACAAATACAGTTAAGAGCGGACTTACATTGAAAGGGAACGAACTACACAACGGTTGATCTTTTGAATGAAATGCAGACTGAATGGCAACTGCTTGGATCTAGTGAAGGATGAGCGGGGCAGAACGCAAAAGCAAAGCTTAAGAGTGAAAATTATGAAAACTGCTCCATAGCCATAGGCAGCATAGGTATGTATGTATGTGCATTAGCAAACTAACTTAATTGATGACGAGTATGTTTGGTATGGCTGAGCTTTCGGCGGAAGCAGAAGTGATGTAATCGTTTTGAATGAAAAGTTCCCATGATCTATGAAGATAGAGTGAGTTTTTCCGTGATTAAAGTGTAAACATTATTATAAATCTCTGGTCCATTGTTATAAGTGGCAAACTGTTCGTTAAACACCTATTCAACTATATTCTTAGCAGTGTAATAACAACAATAACAGCAACAATTAATAGTAATAAAATGAAGGAATAAAGAACACATGAGGCTTCAACAAAAACATTTGAACGATCGATGAACAACGCAGTGACGTAATGTAAATTTGTACATTGGCACATTTTCGAACGAGATTTGAGCAAATCACTGTTTATGTTAAACGCAGCAAAATTTAGTTGTGGGAGAGAGTAAGAGAACGGGGTAATCAATATTACCTGACGCCAGCAAATGCAACTCTTTTTCGATTTTTTTTTTTTTTTTTTTTTTTGTTTTGAGATTTGAAGGTTAGGAAATTTAAAGAACATTTTTATATTAAGGAATTCAACATTAGAAACATTAAGATGTTCGACTAAATTTTGAAAAAAAAAAATAATTTTTTTAATCTGAATTTGCGTGAGTTCTTTAAATTTCCTTCTCGTTGCGTTCGTTGACATTTTGTATAATATTCAATGCAGCTACAACGGTAGCCGGCGCTGGCAGCACAGCTGCTTCTGCTGCTGCGTCTGGCATCCGTGGTGGTAGTGCCAAATCAGCATCACCCATTTTTACATCTAACTTATCGATTTTTGCATTTGCGTCAATATCGTTTTTCAAAGTTTTCAAAATATTGAACTCGTCTGAGCCATTCGATGCACTGATCGCCGAGTCATCTGACTTTTTCTCGGTAGCTGCATCGTCAGCGGTTGCAGCTGTTAATTGATTTTTTTGCTCAAATTCAGTCTCAACAGACGGAATTTTTGCTGTATTGATGGAGGCCGTTATTGGTGATACCGGTGGTGCTGTCTCATTTGTTAACATTTGCAAATGAGCGGACAAAACTAACGACGGCGATGATAATGGTGACAATGGCGCGATTTGTGATGCGGATGGCGGTGAGCGCATGAGCGAGCTTTCAGCAGCTGCAGATGATTGTATTTCGGCTGTATGTGAAAAATGTGAAGAATGGGATGGTTACATCAGTTTCTTTGCGAACCTAATAAATTGTTCTTTCCTTATATGTATTATATAATAATTAAACTTAAACGACCAATCAAGAGCAAGTTTGGACTTCGAAAAATAGAGTGAACTGCACTAAAGCCAACGATGTTTCGCGCAGTCGGAGAAGGCATACCTTTGTACATATGTACAAAATCCTTCTATTAAATTCCTAGAAAATGTAGAGGAGTAACTAAATGAAAACGTGTACTCACTTCTGTCGATATTGCGCTGCAAATGTGCGGCAACTCTGTGACGTGCGTCATTGAACTCCAAATGCAGACCCAATCTGAGCAATGATGGATTCTTTTCCACTAATTCGGTTATTTCCATTTCGATCTTGTTACCGAGCACTGAGGATCGCTACAATGCAGTAAAAATGTTTGGTTGTTTAATTACCTTTGCAATATATGAATAAGAGTACTTACTTGATTGGAGGCCCTGAACTCTTCAATTGTGCGGCACTTGAGCAGGGCTTTCACTAAGGTCACTATAACAGGCGGACTAATGAAATTCGTCTCAACATTTAATACTCTCAAGGTTTTGCTTTTCTCAATTGCTTCAGCCAGTAAGAGAGCTGTCTTGTCGGTAAGGCCGACATTTGTTAAGGAAAGAACTTCCAAATTTTCATTTTCAGGCAGTACTTGGAAAAGTTGTTCCAATTTCTCATCGGAAATGTTCTATAAATTATGGAAATGTATGTTCATACATGAAATATCTGTATAATTATACTGAATGTTTTTCTGTTATTTATCCTAATACCTTAATGTTATTTAAGTTCAGTTCAATTAATTTTGAATCGTTATCTTTTACGCGTTTAATTGATTCTTCGACATCTGTGTTATTTGGTGGGTCCATGGGGAACAATTTTGGTTGAGTTGATTTTGTAATACCATCCCATCCCATGCCAACTGGTTGACCTTTGTTCAACAAAGAAGCATGGTATTGATCCTGATTCATCATCGAGTGGAAGCCAAGAATAGCTGCAAATGAGAAACCATAATTGATTTTTCCAAATAATTTCAAACTAAGCATGTCTAATCTTTGTTGTTTTTACGTACCAGCCAGATCGATAATCTCTTCTTGTGTGGCATCGCTCAGCGCATGCTCATACTCTTCACCCAAATCGATGGCGATCTGTTCCTCAGCGGCAACTTCACTTTCATCTCTTGGTGGTGGTACCCATTTCTTGCCACGTACTGTACCCTTGACATACGGCTCAAATTCGGGCTCATCGGGTGTTTCTAAGGCCTGCTTATTAATATGCTCGATAAGCTTTTTGCGATTCAACGGACCAGTGGGATCTTTGTCGCATTCATAACTGCAACGTTGATCGGGTGGCAGGAAATTGTCCTGGGAGAAACAAAAGAATTATGTAATATTTTTTGTATAAAAAAAATGTTTTTTATTTAAGCGCTCTAACAGAAGAAATCAACTAGTATATACACTAAAGTATTTCGATTAGCACCTATTTAGAGAACGACTCCAATCGTACCGCCAATACATTCATTTACACGCTACTTGACTAAGGTGACAATGAAACTTATGACGACACTAGCTAGAACTTATGCAGGGTTTAGAGTTCTGAAAGCATTTAGCGTAGTATCATTTTACGGCGTTTCATTGAGGACTATTATTTTTACACACTCTTAGATCTCTTGCTTGATGTCATACAACTTATTACGAAAAATCAAATTTTAGGAATATATACTACTTACATCGGGATCGACTTCTTTGGCCAAAATATTGATTTCTTCCGGTGACAATTGCGCCAGCAGAGCATCAACATCAACCTCATCATACTCGCTCAAATCCTTGCCGTACAATTTGGCAGGCGTAGTGAGAGTGGAGGTCTTGGTTGTCGATGAAGTCTGAAAAGGTAAAAATAAAAACAATAAATTTAGCAACAATAACTGCGAAAATTAAAATAAACACATAAATCATGAATTTTTTTTATATTTTTTTTTTTTTTTTTTTTTTTTTTTTTTTTTTTGTGTTCGTATTTAGTGAATGCCAACTTTTTTCAGCGCCAAAGTGGTGGGTGGCTGTGGGGCGCGTCTTTTCACTTTCGGCACTGGACGTAACTTTACGCGCTGGAACTCAGCCTCTGGTTCTTGTCTCTCCTCGGGAGACTCCATGAATGGATTTTGTTTATATTCAATTATTTAATATTTAGTAAACACTGCTTTGAATAGCAGCTTGGTGGGCTCAGCGTATGCTTTTCGGCTGAGTACTTGGAAATATAATAAACAGTTGGCGCAACGAATTGCAGATTGCGCTTTGAAACAGTGGTGTTGCAAGTGCATATGCGAGGAAAAATGTGTAAATGTATAAATCAATATTGCATTTCCTCATATATGCGCGCAGTGTAAAAATTAATTTAATTAGGTCGAAGGCTTGAAGTGTTTACCTACCATTTGGCAGCGGAAGAGAATGAATCATACAAAGCGATCAATTGAGGACTGTGTAAACTGTTGAAGCTTTGTCGTGGGTAGGAAATGAGCACCTTCGCTTGCCGTCAAAGTTCAAATGCGACTGGCTGTCTAGTCGGCGAGAAGAAACCTATTTCAGGTCGCCCGCAATGACGCTGTGTCTTTGGCTTTGGACGGCAACTTCCACAACGAAACCTTCAACAAAGCAAAGCCAGCTCGAAAACGGGCAAATGAAAAGGGTTCGGCGGTCATTGTTCATGCTCCAGTGAGGTGGAGTAATAATGACAACGACAATGCTCGGCACGCTTAGTTAGCGCTGTCCGTCTGCCCGTCTGCACGACGCGTCGTCGTGAGTTGCGTGTTGTATAGTCAGTCACACACAAGATTTAGCAGTAAGCGGAAATTAATCTGAGGCATTGCCGATCAGCGAGCAAGCAAGCAGGCGAGCTAGAGTCGTCAAACCACTAGCGAACCTACCAAACAATAACAATGCCTGCTTATGTGCGCCAACTGGTGTGCGGCTGCACCCGAAATGCTTGATCGCAAGCACATAGGTATGACCTAAGATTGCACAATAAGCAACCGTGGCTGCGCAGCGAGGTTGAAAAGACCCTACAAAGACGCGGATACAGTTAAAGGTTTTATTGTAGCTTTTGTGACTCAGTTCTCGGCTGCGGCGATGCATGGCATCAGCAGGCTTCTGCTGGACTCAATGAGGCTGGGAACGCAAGAAAGGCACACTGCAATTCTAAAAAACATATGTGTATGTTTTGTTGTGGTTCTGTGAGTTCAAGCGCCTCATTTGCACTAGTGACTGCCAAAGTATGCTTTAAAGCGAACATGTCAACCATTATTTTTGTTTTTATTATGTAAAAAGGAAGTGAAGATAATAAAATGGAAACCGAGAGTCAAATAATGTCAGCATTCAAAAGCCGAGTTGGGGTCAGTCATATGTATGAGCATAAGATGAATGTGTGCACTGCTTTGGTTCGTAGTTTCGTGGGGATTCACCTCAAGATATTCTATAGCCCTATTAGAGAACTGTATGTAAACTGTCTTCGGACCATCGACTACCTCATTTATATTACGCAAAAAAGGTATCCAAAATAAATTTTCACAAGAAGTTTCAATAAAATCTGAGTAAAGTTTATATTTTGGATAACCCTCGGTAAGCACCCATTACAGTTCACATGAAAGCGTTTGTAAGAGCTCTTTAATTTGTATGCAACCTACTCGCTTAGTATCAACTAAAGTTCAAGTAGCGTGACAAAAGCGCTTGAATTGTTAAATCGTGATATTGCCACGATCGGCGGTCGAATTAGACATGCAACGCTGACGAAAGAGCCACACGAAGCGTTACTGGCCAAGCTTAATTTGCTTCACTGCTTATTTGCTTGCGACTGTTCAGGCTACATTTGTTTCATGCAAACGGAGAAATGCTAACTTCTTTCAACAACATTGCGGTAGTTACGAGCCCTTACATCCGTTCTATATCCTATTTGGAACCGGCAGACTAGTCGTTTTGAACATTTTAAATTCATCGCGCGTGACGCAATCAAAAGCGACCTTAAATGGCAATCTTCGTTTAACATACGCGCTACAATCCCATTGAGTTCTATGCTGCTTACTAGCGAATGTTTTCCCAACATTTTTAATACCTACGACAGGGTGCATATATTAAATGAAAAATATTAAAATAGGGATTCATAATAAATATCATAGCGGAAAGATGATAGTACATCGATTTGAGAATCGGCACAGGGTGGCCCGAAGCTTAATATAGGAATATTTGATTAAGGATTCATAATATAATTTCATAGCGAAAAAACAGAGACAGTACATCAATTTGACAATACATTTTCTGTTAAAAAAATAACGGGAGTTTTAAAAATTAAATTTTGCGTGTTTGGAGAATCCATTTTTAGATTTTTTGTAGGAGAAAATTATATAATATGAGATTGAGTTAGAAGAAATGAATGCATAATTTCGAATGGGGACTAATTACAAGGCGACAACATAATGGATGTACGTAGCTGTGCACGATCATAAACAACTGAAACTCAGATTCAGGTGTAATCATCTTATTTTCTTGTGTTTGTTGTTGTCATCTGTTTATTTTGACTTTGCTGTGTCTTTTATTGTATGAGAAAAATTTACTGTATTTATGTTCTGTACGCCACTAGCCCGCACTGTGTCTGTGTACAACTTCAAACGGCGCGTAAAACCGGTTCATGTGAAACATAAAAATATAACAATAAATAATACATAGTAATCAAAAGTAGTGAGTCGACAAGCCACACGTACGAGTACTTGAAACCTGAAAAGCGGTAATGACAGCGACGTCGCCGTAAACAGCCAAAGCTGGGCAAACGAACTGGTCTTGTAGGTTTTGGTCATAGAAAATTGACCCATATATGTTGGCCATAATATTTGTGGAAAATAGGTGATAGGTGAGTTGGAAATTTTCGGATTTATGGTGATAAGTTGGTGATACGATTTGACTGAGTCTCATTCAGGATGGTCAGACTCTGTGGTCTTTTAGCTGAGATTCGATTGAGTGATTAATTGGCTCTATGAAACGAAACTTCCGGAGTCTTATATTAATTATGAAAACAGAAGAAAGAAAATTCGAACATCTAAATCCGTATTTATAATCATTGGCATTCTAAATGAAACATGTTAAATCCATATGTGCTCATAACATAACTACATATATGTCTTCTGCATTCAAAAACAAGTTTATGTATTTAAGCTAAAGCTTTACTTTAAATTTTATAATTAATCATTTAAACTACTGAAGCTAGCTGTTATAAATATTAATCAAAAATAATTATCTCTCGGCAGACATTGTACCACAATAATAGGTGTGTTCACCACAAATAGAAAATAACAGAATTATATCATTAATAAGTAACTTCGACAAGATTTATTATTTAACATTGGAACATTGGAAATACTACAAATAAGCAATCACTCTCCTAAACCTTGAGACAACTCCAAATGTTTAATAACAACGCGCTTCTCTTGTCAAAATAGAGAGGTAGTCTGGTAGTTACCATATGTTCATAGGAGTGCTGTGGCCTTGAGCATAAAAATGAAAAATCAACGATTTGGCATTCAATTGCATTGCAGCCAGAGGGAATGCATTTATTGCAAGTGCCACAAAACTCTATTCCCGGCATCGAAAAGTGATTTGTTTCAATATATATTTTATTTATTATAATAAGCAAAAAATATAGTGTTTATAGCAGAAAAGCTTCGAATTACACAGCTTACATTGAATAATGTTGCAAGTCGGTTCGTAGTGATGCCCGACCGCTGCGAATGGTGTTTGAGCATTCTGTTGAATATGCAAAATTGACGTGTTGCAAACAAATGGCAATTGAGTTCATGGTCTAATCAAACGCGAGATAGCGCACACATGTCCAGATATAAATGTTGTCATAAATTTAATACATAAATCACGCAGACTAAAGCGTGAGGACAACCGGTTGATCTGATGCACAGACCAATAGATGCACCGCACCTGCAAACATGATTTTTATGAAAATTTAAATTAATGTGCGAATATTTACACCGATGACCAAGAGACTCTATTAATGTGACTTTTAGAATAACACGTGAAATTTACCCCCTCTGTGATAATTTTAGCAAGGGTCAACAAAAGCGTTACTCTGTACTGTTTTCCATTTCCTTGGCTGAGATCCAACAAAATGTTTGAAACACTCTTTTATATGACAATTATAATAAAGCGATTTAGCAATTGTAGCATTTGTGTTTAATTAAAAGAAGTTTCAAAATTTCACAATTGACATACATATTACTAGTCAAAAGAATGTTTCATCTATAGAAAATATATTGTGTTTTTTATTTCCAAAGTTTAACTATACGAATATGTCTACAAGGCCGTCTTAAAAAATCAACGCCACCGATTTATCTGAAATTTTTAGAGAGTATTTTGTATAGCCTTACCTATGTCAGGAGCTAGCCATATACCCAAATTTAAATGTTTACTAATTTTAAAAATTTCGAAACTGTCAAAAAAGTGATGCAAAAATGACATTGACATAGTTCAGAGAGTTAAAGGACAGCGGCTACGCTGGCTAGGTATTCGGCGCAGTACCCTCCGAGGGAAACAGAGTAAGAAAAATACCTACACTCCGCCACTAGGTGAAGAAGAACCAATAAAGAAGAAGAAGACCGATTATAATTCATAATCAAATTGAAGTCAGAGAACTGAAAAAAAAAAAATTTAACTTTTCTCCATATGAGTACATTTAATTAAGTATTATCAGTCCCCTCGGTCCCTTACCGTACCCAAGAAAAGTGCGTGTTCAAGAAACAAAAGTTATGCTAGACCGACTCAGCAAAGCTCGCCAACTGCATTTCTGTGACAAAAAACAGTTAAATATTTACACAAACATTGCAACGTCTGAACG